GGAAGGAAGGAAAGAAAGAAAAAAGAAAAGAAATACAGTGGCTTTAGAGGACCTGGCATTAAAGGCAAGCAACACCACTTCCAGCCCAGAGAGAATTTTTAAATTACCTATCTACCTATTTAGTTGTGGTTTGAATATTGCATCTAAGACCTTACCACATGCCAGACAAATGCTATGGTATTGAGACACAGGTACACACTTGAAAATGTTAGCTTATAGCCAGTGGTGGTGATGCACAGTTTAATATCAGCACTTCGGAGATAGAAGTAAGCAGAGCCTGGTCTACTGAGTAAATTTCAGGACAGCCAGGGCTATACATTGAAACCCTGTCTCCAAAAAAACCAAAGTTAACCAACCAACCAATCAAACAAACAAACCCCAGCTGTAGATGGGATTTGATTGACAGAAGGATATTGAGAAGGCTCAGCAGATTTATAGCATTGTGCCTCAGTTTCCCTGCCGGAGCTAGAAATTGAGGCATTGTACATACTAGAAAGTGCTGTTCACTGAGCTATATCTCCATCCCTCAGACTATAGGCCGGAACCCCTGAGGAAAAGGTGCCTGTGCTCATCGGACCCTTTCTCAGTCACTAAAAGAATAAAGGGGTAGTTTTGTCACATGCAGCATTTCTAGAACCATAGGCATGGGGGCAAAACCCCATCCCAGTGTTCAGGAGGCCAAAGCAGACAATTCCAAGGCCTGGGCCAGTCTGTACTATGTAGCAAGACTCAATCTCCAAAATAACACAGTGCAAGATGTTTTGAGACTCTGTTAGTTTCATAATTGATAGTGCACTTTAGGAAAACTAAGTCTTGGTTTTGGCTCGGTGTTTGTAAGAAGGGTGACCGTGAGTGTGCGTATATGTCACTCATTTGGATAGGAGAGGAGAACGCAGCTTCCCTCCTCTTGCTTAGGAACCAGAGGAAGTTTGCTATTTGGTCCACCTGTCTCTGGTCTTCAGTGCCCTGGTTAAAAGGATGCATGGCCATGTCCAACTGTGTGGTGCTTGGTGGGGATTAAACTCAACATTCTTGTATTGCACAGGAACCAGGCTTGCTCAGTAAGACCTGGGACTCCTGGACCCCAAAGCAGACAGACAGACAGACAGATAAATAGATAGCTACTTCTGAAGTAACAGAAAAGGAAACCTTTCTCTTCTCAAGTCACATTGCCGTTTGGTTCCTGTAATATACAAGTTGACAAATCCTGTTAGATACTAAAGAACAAGATTTGATTTGAATTTCACTTTCTCAATTTTAAGAAGGTCTGATAGAGCTTGGGCCTTGGGTTTCTCCTGCCTTTGCCTCTAATAAGCATGCTTTATATATGGTTAATTTAAAGTCTGATAATTTATTTGCTCAGTTCTAATTGAATACTATCAACTTTAGGGTTTGAAATATAACTCTATTGGACTTTGTGGTTTTTAATCATTTAACAAGTGTTTGTGCTGGCCTCTGGCTCAGGCGCCTCAACTGCTGCAGTAGAACAAACAAACAAACAAAAACCTGAAACAGTGGAGAACATTCTCTGTGCTACTAGAGAAAGGTTAAAGAAACTTATCAGTGTGGGTCTGTAATAACCAGGAGCTGGTTTTTCAGTTAACCCAAATTCACTAATTATGTCTATCTTTTTTTGCGTCTTTGCATATGTTTTTGGCCTCATGTAGCAATGCTTGTGGATGTCTTTGGACTCCTGTTCCTCTTGCCTAACCTCTAAAGTGTTGGGATTACAGGTGTGTTAGTTATTTTTATGAAACTGTGTTCGTTTCTCTGTTAACCCAGCTATCATATAAATAACTGAGACTCTTTTATATTTGTTTAATAATAAGCTTCACGACACAATAACTGAGCAGATATTACTGTATTCTTAACCCTTTGTGCTAATTTGTTTTTCTCCCAGCATACATCCCAGGATACTTGCACTTTGTAGCTTTCCTGCTGAGCTCTCTCTCCTGATGCCACCTGGGCCTCTGCCATGACTGAATCCCCTGCTTCCTATCCTCTAACTCATCCTCCCCTGGATGGCAGGAAGTCCAGCCCTATTCTCTCCCCTGCTCAGTGATTGGCTGTAAGCTGTTTTATTACCCTATCAGGGGACCCCTGGGGAACAGAGTTTATACAACACTAAGAACAGGAGATTCTCAGAGCAAGGCTTGCAACCAGATATGGGGGATACAGAAATCAGCATTTGAATTACACAATAACCGTATGCTTACAGGTGTGTGTTGTACCCCCATGCCCAGCTCAGACATTTTAGAAAGCACACTCACTGTATATAACTAGCACCATTTACAAGTGTCTGCGCCTCGATTCCTGGACTAACCTCTGGCTAAGGGTATGGCTCTGTGATAGGTTGATTGCCTTCATCCCACTGCATCCTCGATACAGTCCCTACTACGAGAGGAGGGAGAGTGCATCTGTAACCTCAGGTGGAACTGCCTGACCTTTGGCTTTGTGTTCACGCTAGAGTTTTGTTGGCAGTCTTCAGATCGTGTGTAATGTGCCCAAGGTTCAGTTTCTTCCTATTTTGGTATTTTGTATCTTGTTCTTTTTAGCCTTTCTGTTGGGATTTCTTTTACCTTCGTATTTGTGAGGGTGGTGTGGAGAATATGGTAGGGTATGGGCTTGGGTTTTTTTGTTTTTCCCTTTGGCAAAGGATCACACTTTGGCTGGTACATGCCAAGAAAGTACTCTACTACTAGGATAATTTAGACAGTTTCCCCTAGCTGGCCAGGAGCTTTATAGACCAGGAGCACTGGGATTAAATGTGTATGCCACCAACCCTAAATACATAATGGTTTAGGAAAAGCCATCTCAGGTGCTCATATATGCGGAACGTCCTTGCTGGTCCTGCCTTCCGGATTTTTACATTTTTATATTTATATACAATGTACATATAATTTGCACTTTTATTATTAGTGGACATCAGTGATTGGCTGGGTGTTGGTGCACATATTTTGTGGCACGTGTTTGTTGGCAAGAAGATAGCTATAAATAGCCAATGCTCTGCAACATGTGAGTCCCATGCATTAAACTCTCAGTCTTGCCAGGGTCGGGTAGTGGGGGCACACGTCTTTAATCCCAGCACTCCGGAGCCAAAAGCAGCCTGGTCTACAGAGTGAGCTGTAGGACAGCCAAGGAGACACAGAGAAACCCTGTCTTGAAAAACAAGAATACTCTTAAGTCTTTCGCTCTTGCTTGTTTTGTTTGTTTGTTTTTAAGTCAGGGCCTCACTGTAGTTGTGGCTGGCCTGGAGCTCCTACTAAAGAACAGGCTGGCCTCAACTTGCCTCTGCCCTCCACATGCTAAGATTAGAGTCATTCTCCGCCACATCTAGCTGGCTGTCAGTGTTGATGGTAGGCTCAAAGCAAAACTTAACCCTTCCATCCCATCTCATGAGGACATCTACATGATAACATTTATTATTATTATTATTTATTATTATTTCTTTGATTCAGGGTCTCCTCTATATCCGAACTAGCTTCAAACTAGATGTGTAGCCAGGGATAATTGTGGCCTTCTGCTTCTCTTGCCCTCACCTCAGGGATGCTGGGCTTGCAGGCATGTATTACCCTATGCTGGGTTTGTGTGCTGTTGGGGATTGAACACAGATATTCATGCATGCTCGGTGAGCACTCCATCAGTTGAGCAATGGCCCAACCAAAAAGTCTGAACATTTTACAGTGCAGGTCATTGAAGAGAGAGGAAAAGAAAGCCACTTAAGGGGCAATGCAGAGAGCAAGAGATAGTTTTACCAGGAGTAATATACAGGTTGCAGAGAAAGAACACTGGTGAAAACAGAACAAGAGAATGAGAAGGAGCCAGGAAATTTTAGCAGATTGCTGCAGATAGTTTGAGGCCATCAGAGCAATTCAGAGGCCGAGATAAAAGTCAATTGAATAAGTCAGCTGGGGCCTGGAGGGATAGCTCAGTGGCTAAGAGCACTGGCTTACTCTTCCTTAACGGACTCAGGTTCAATTCCCAGCACCCACATGACAGCTCATAACTGTCCATTAGCCCCAGTTCTAGGTGATCTGACACATAAAATTAAATTTTTTTTTTTTTTTTAAGAAAAGAATAAGTCAACAGGGAGAGGAGTTTGACAAGAACAGTTGAGTTGAACCAGCCAGCTCAGAGCTCAGGAAGAACTAGAAAGGGTGAGCTTATTGAGCAGTAAGTCTCAGAGGCTGAAAACATTCTAGGCTAGGCTAGATTGTATGGAGGCTAGAAGCTTCCAGGGCTAGGCCTAGGTTAGCAGAAGGAGGCAGTAAGCCTCCCAGACAACAACTGAAACAGGCAAATAAAAGTTCCTCTACAGGTCATCTTCTCCTTGGATCATTCCATTTCTCTATTAACTAGATTAATTAAATTAATTAAAATCAAACAGGTTTCTTAGGGTTTTATTTGAAGCTCCATGAAACCCGGACAAGTGCCCTGCTGTTTGGTAGCTATAGGAATATTTGGCCTGCAGTATTTTGAGACCTTACACAGTTCCTGACTAATGTGTTTAAGTTGTTTTTCACTATAGACTCCTTAACCTAAAGCAGCTTTCCTGGACATAGTGCCCCTTGGCTGTAGTAGTTAAAAGTCATCATGGGTGACACAGGAAGGCTGTCTAGCAAGTTTGCCTGCCCAGTGTAAAAAGTTGATGACTATAGGTTGTTTCCAGGGCTCGAGGGATGCCTCAGTATTTAAGAGCACTTCCTGTTCTTATAGCGGTCCCAGGTTCAGTTCTTAGCACCCACATGGAGTTCCAAAACTTCATGTAGCTGATACTACCAAGATCGAGTGCTATATGTACCCAGTTAAGACACCATATACATAAATCTTAATGGAAAATTTTTTTCCATTTTATTTTATTTTTTTTATAAGGAGTCTGGGCTATATGATATCCTTCTCAAAAAAGGAAAAAAGAAAAAGAGAAGTCTGGCCTTCCAATGTGTAAAGCTTGTGTAGATGAATACATTCTGTGTTTTTGCTTGTTTGTTTTTCGCCTTCAGGTGATTAGAAGGAGTGGTCCTGAAGAGAAGGTCCTTTGTCTGGTCCGAGTGCGAGTAGGCCACTACTGTCAGACAGCTGTGATGGTCGTGCTCATCCTGCTGTGGGAAGGCATCCCTCGCCTGATGGCTGACCGCCTGTACAAAGAGCTCACGGAGAACTTACGGTGTTACAGCGGGCATCCCACTGACAGAAGATGTACCCTCAATGAAAAGTAATCAGCTCTGCTTTGTTCTGCCTTGACTTTCCCTTCTCTGTTGTGTGTGCTAAATGTGTGCCCACTAAGACTATCGAGTGAAGGACGTTTACATTCTGTGAAAGGAAAACCAGCCTTTACCGGGTGCGGTGCTCCACACCTTCAGAGCAGGAGGGCAGCTCGCTCTTCACAATGGTCTAGGCTAGCTAAGACTGCTAAGTAAGACCTCTTGTTATTTCCTCTTCCTTCTCCATTTTAAATGCATTTAACAGCATTCTGCAGAGCTGGAGAGATGGCTCAAAAATTAAGAGCACTGACTGATCTTTCAGAGGATCTGGGTTCAATTCCCAGTAACTACATGGCAGCTCACACCTGTTTGTAACTCCAGTTCCAGAGCTTCTGTCACCCTCACGCAGACATACATGTAGGCTAGACACCAATAAAAAACAATTCCACTTTACAACTTATTGGGGGTGGGTCTTAGTGGTTGAACTTGGGGCCTTTTTCACCTCAGTCAGCCTGTATACCTATCATGCATATATACACCTTCAAAACCTAGGACATTCTTTTTTCTTTTTTCTTTTTTTTTTTTTTTTTTTTTTTTTTTTTTTTTTTGCATTGTATCTTATCCAACTCCTTGTTAAAGAGTATAAGGAAAGGCTCTTTAGCAGTTCCCTCTTCAGAGTTTGAAGACTTCCTCATACAGTCACTACAGCAGTGACGCCAGTGGGATTTACTCCCATGATTGGTGATCTTTTCTGGCCCAAATGGCTCAGAACTGGTGTCGTTCCTTTTTATTTCTTTTGAGTCTTACCCTGGCAGTCTGTAAGTCTGGATCTTAAGTGATTCTTCTTCATGGCCTGTCACCCCTGCTGACCCTTCAGACCACTGTGAGATAATAATTCAAGGCCAGTCCTTTCTAAAGGGCTACTTTTCCATTTTCTTTTTTGAGGCAGACTCTTAAAAAAAGAGAATACGTAGTAGTTCAGAACTCCCAATTTTCCTGCCTCTTGGTGGTATGAATTATGTGCTGCTGTCCTTCATCTGTTCAATTTCTTGTTTCCCAAGAGTGTAAAATGAATGGCATAGCTGAGTGGTAGATTGTTTGCCATATGTGTTCTGGGTTTAGTCCACTGTGTTGGAATTACAAAAAATTTGTATCATAGTAGTTAGTAGATGACTACTTTATCCTTTAATCTCTTTAAGGATTAAGATTTGCTAATCATTTTATTATGGCTTGTAATAATAAGCATGTCAAGTCACTTTCCCAAAAGTTCATACCCTGTTTAATCTTCTAAATTCATCAATTAGATGAATTTCTTTGTCTTGAGGAAAAAAAACATGAAAATATCCTATCTTAACACTTTACCATATCATTTTAAAAACTGAACATTTCTACTAGTCTATCAAGTTTAGTTTCCTTCCGTGACTAATTTGACCCTTTGGACTGGAATCTGTCCTACTTTTCCTTCTTTCCAACTCTTGCAGTACCTCCTATCTCTCCTTAGAGTCTTTTTTTTTTTTTTTTTTTTTTTTTTAATACAGTATTCTGTCAAAAGAGGGCACCAGATCTCACTATAGATGGTTGTGAGCCACCATGTGGTTGCTGGGAAATGAACTCAGGGCCTTTAGGAAGAACAGCCAGTGCTCTTAACCTCTGAGACATCTCTCCAGCCCTCTTTATAGTGTTATATCATTGTCTTGCCTTTCACATCTAAAATTAAGAAATGGTTTTGATCTGTAAATTTTGTAACATTTTCATTACATTTAAACACTGAGCTGAGGAGTATCTTGTGGGTGGTGTACCTATGTACCTACCTGGCTTGTGGAAGGCCCTGGGCTCAATGCCCAGCACCACAATCTTTCTTTTCATTATTCCTATTGTAATCCTCATAAGTCTTTTCATTAAAACTGACAGGATTGTATATTTACTGAAAAAAAATTATGACTTTGTTATATTAGAAAAAAAAAGGAGCTAAAGTGAACTGGAGAGATGGCACAGAGGTTAAGAGTACTGGCTGCTCTTCCAGAGGTCCTGAATTCAATTCCCAGCAACCCTATAGTGGCATACCACCATCTATAATAAGATCTGGTGCCCTCTTCTGGTGTGCAGGCACACATGCAGGCAGAATATTGTATAAATAATAAGTAAATCTTAAAAAAAAATAAAGGAGCGAGGGTTCAAAGAGGAAATGAAACTATTTTCATTTCTGTTAAAGGATTTTAATTGTGTGCCTTTCCATTGGCTTGGCTATAGAACCTTGAACAATCGTTTTAGTTAAATAAGAATCAAGAATGGATTCAGAAGGAAGAGAACTGCTTGTAAGTTTGAGGCTAGATACAGCGAGGGTGTGTCTTAATGAAGAGAGTTAAAGGCAATAGTTAAATATTATAACCTGTACACACTATACCTGCCTCTCCATCACCTTGTCTAACATCCTGCTGACCATCTTCCAGTCGAACCTGCACCTGCCAAGGCCTCAATCCAAAGACATGTGGAGCATCTTTCTCCTTTGGCTGTTCGTGGAGCATGTATTTCAACGGCTGTAAGTTTGGGAGAAGCCCAAACCCCAGAAAATTCAGACTTGCTCCAAACTATCCCTTAAACGTGAGTTTGCTTTTTAATTTACAGTGCACCGTCTACAGTATGAAACCATGTACAGTTCCTAAAAAGCTTATTGAAGACAAAATTAGTTATTAAAAAACAATCATAAATCAGTAAAATATGTATGTAACTACTTAGATTCTAAATATATCAAGACCTCAACTATTTCTGTTGTCTATGGGTCTGTCTTCCTACTCCTCAACACCAGAGGGCACCATTGTTAAAAGAACTTAGGTGTTATGGGCAGCCAGAGTCGAACAAACCCACTTGCCAACATTTTAAAAACTAAGAAAGTTTCCTACCCACAGAACTACTACAAGAGAATTACTGGAATACGTTCTGAAAAAAGAAGCCGTGTGAAGCCCGTGAAGCCTAGACGGATCATTCCAGAACACAAGGCCCTGGTAAGCAGAGAAATTAGTCAAATGTACTCTTCAGGGGTTTTTTAAGTTGAAGCATGGACTTACAAGTCCTTCTTGTTGAACTGGAAAATGGGAAGTGGGGGGGTGCTTCTGACTGAACAGGTTCAGTGTGGGAATGTTTTGTATTTTATTAGGGCAAAGATTATTCATATAAGAAATGGTGTTTTGCAAACATGGTTCCATTACCTTCACTAACCAGCTACACTTAACTATTATGAGCAAAGTATTTCACCTAGTTATATGTACAAATGGCTTTCTCTAATGCATCAAAATATTTTCATTGAACTTTATTTCTTAAACTGAACATGATGTCTCACACCTGTAATCTTAGGCTAAGGCAGGAAGATCACTGCAATTTCCATGCCAGTCAAGACTTCAGAGTGAAATCATGTTTTAGGAAATCAAACTGAAAGACTAGAGTTCCTGCTGTTTCACTGACTTGCTAGAACTGTATAAGCTGTTACTTGAGCATGGCCATCTCTTCTGCTTCCCAGAAAGCATGTTTTTGAAAGCATAGGTCAGGCTGTGCTCGGTGGTTCACCCTGTAATCACAGCACCTGGAGAGGCAGGGGTGATCGGGTGCCTGTGAGTTCGAGGCCAGCCTGGTCTACAAAGTGAGCACAGGGCAGCCAGGGCTACACAGAGAAACCCTGTCTTGAAAACCAAAATCAAAAAAAGAAAGGAAGAAACCATAGGTCAATCATTTGTAACGTATAGAAATAGAAATTATTGAAAACAAAGAAATAGAAATTATATTGAGATTAAATCTTCAAGGAAACCACATTAATTTAGCACATTGGAGTCAATGCTTTTAATGTAAGGTAAATAGGAAACATCATAAATGGCAGGGGTCAACCAATGTTTATATATCACACTTAATTGATACCTGACAGTAATAACCACAAGAAAAATCCCTATAGTAACTGCAGCTGAAGGTACTTCAGCATAAGTCTCATGAAGGATATTTGCAGATAAGTATAAAACTTTGCTAAAGGATGTACAGTCTTGTAACCTGGAGCAGGATCCTCAGAACATCTGTGCCCCTTAAATCTGGCAGGTTGGGATGGGGAGACGGCTCAGCAGTTAAGAGCATATGTGCTCTTCCAGAGGCCCTGAGTTCAATTCCCAGCAACCTCATGGTGGCTCACAACCATCTTTACTGAGATCTGGTGCCCTCTTCTGGCATACAGGTGTACATGCAGATAGAGCACTCATCTACAAAATAAACAAATCTTAAAAAAAAAATAAAATCTGGGGCTGGAGATGGCTCAGGGGTTAATAGCACTGAAGGTTCTTCCAAATGGTCCTGAGTTCAATTCCCAGCAGCCACATGGTGACTTGCAACCATCTATACGGAGATCTGATGCCCTCTTCTGGCATACGTGTGTACATGCAGACAGAACATTGTATACATAATAAATCCTTAAAAAAAAAAATCTGGCTAAGGCTGGGTGTAGTGCCACATACCTTTGGCACTTGGGAGGCAAAGGCAGGCAGATCTCTGAGTTCAAGTCCAGGCAGAGCTATATAGTGAGATATCATCTCAAAAAACCAAACAAACAAGGCAGTGAGATCTTGTCCTATATTACTAAATTATTTGTTCATGTTATAAAAGGTATTGGCATAACAATTTCTTTTTTATACTTTAATCTTAATACTTTAATGCTAGTTATTCTTTTTTTTTTTCCCTCCCCTTTTGGCTTCAGACTCAAAGATCCAGCTGCCTCTACCTCCCGAGTATTGGATTAAAGGTGTGTGCCACCACTGCCTGGAAATGTTAGTTATTCTTGATAATAAGTAACATTATAACTGCTTATAACACCCGTTGACAGCTGGACTCAACTCAGGAACTGTGAGGCCAGTATAATTGAAACCCCACCAACAAAGGGAAGGAGTTGTGAGCATCAGCTGCTCTGTAAGCCAAAGCCAGGAATTTGGGAATGTCTAGGGAATGCTTGAAAGTGGAATAAGTACACTCCTTTAATACCATCTCTCCAGATCCTTTTATAGTTATGGTTTGGAATTAGCCAAAAGGCTTTTCAAATGGGCTATCTTTAAGAACAGTTTAGCACGGGGTTAGTTAGTTAGTTAGTTAGTTAGTTAGTTAGTTAGTTAGTTAGTTAGTTAGGTAGTTAGGTAGTTAGTTAGTTAGTAACTGTGGTCCAGAGATTGAATGCTTGCCAAGGTTGGTTGGAGATGTTAAAAAAAAAAATGGTGTTTGTTACTCCTGTCTTTTTTTTAATAGCGGAATCAGATGAAGTCAGTTGAGACAGTTCTTCAACGCAAACTGGGAATGTTGGTTTGAAATTTCCTGAGTGTTGAATAATGTCATCAGAAAGATGGCTTAGTGGTAAAGTGCAGTTACTTATCACAGGGCTATCGGACAGATAATAAATAAATCACTCATTCTGACTTTTGACACTGCTTTGCTCATAATAAAACAGGCGCTACTATCAAATGCAGCTTTCCTGATGTGCTGGAATTGCAAGCAAGTCTGTTTAGCATAGATTCTTTGTGATTGTATTAATCATCATCTTCCTTAGTATTTCTCAACTCTCCCCATTTTGTAGCGATTATCAGTCCGTGTGTGTGTGTGTGTGTGTGTGTGTGTGTGTGTGTGTGTGTGTGAAATCCACCACCTCTGAAAGAGCAGTAAGGGCTGGACCATTTCATTAGAGTCTCCGTTGCCTTATTTAAAGATATGGCATCTTTTAATGGAACATTGGCTAGCCTTGAACTCAGTCTTCCTGGGCTAGACTGCCAAGCGTTAGGCTCACAGGCATGCTTATTTTAAATGGCCAGGACAAAATGCTACATAATGTACTTTATGTGTTTTCCTTTCTAATCTTAAAATCATGAGTAGGTGTGTCTTTTATTCTATCAAGAGTATAGCCTTCACTATATAGATTTGTTTGTTTGTTTGGTGGTTTTTGTAGACAAGGTTTTTCTGTATAACAATGTCTGTCTAGAAACTTAGAGATCCGCCTGCCTCTGCCTCCCAAGTGCTGGAATTAAAGGTGTGTGCCACTACGCCGGGCCACTATATAGATTTCTAATGTTACAGTTTCCATTTCAAACGGCACAGGTAGACCATAACAACTTCTAGTGGCTCAGATTAACAGTTATCTTCTGTTCTTCCCATTGTATGTGTGAACTGCATGTCGGCCGCATCACAGAATTATTTGAAGTGGAATTTTCTTATACCTGTGACTCACTGTATTTTAGTATTTTGAAGTTACCTTACGTGGCTTATCTTTTACTGTAGGAAAAAAAGCTTGAAGAGAATTTACAGAACTTGGCTACAGAATTGGCTCCACTTTATAAGCAGATGGCTCCAGTTGCTTATCAAAATCAAGTATGTTTTTTTAGAACCTTTTACAATGACCCTAAGAATACTTCAAATTTCTATGTCAAAAAAGTTATTATTAATAGCTTTTCAAAATTGATCTTAAATATGTGCTCTCTTTTTACAATAGTTGTCAGTTTATGTGCCTGTGTGTAAATACATGTGTAGGCCAGAAAATGAGGTCAAGAATCTTCTTTCAGGGCTGGAGAGATGGCCCAGAGGTTAAGAGCAGTGACTGCTCTTCCAGAGGTCCTGAGTTCAATTCCCAGCAGCCACATGGTGATTCACAACCATCTATAATGAGATCTGGTGCCCTTTTCTAGAGTACAGGCATACACGCAGGCAGAACAGTGTATATTATAAATCTTTAAATAAATATTTTAAAAAAATCTTTAAGCGTTCTATGCCTTTAAGGCAGGGTCTCTTCCCTGACTTGGTTCTCACATATACTGAAAGCCCTCAAACCCAAGTGATCCTCCTTCAGCTCTCCATTCTCCTTGGGATAAGCATCTTCCAGAAACAAGGTTTTCTATATGGGTGCTAAGATGCAAACTCCAGTGTGCAGGCTTGCACATGAAACATCCTTAAACTCTGAGCCCAAATGCTAATATCCAAAGTGTTCAAGTAGAGTTTTCTTATTGGATTTCAAGGGAGCCTCATGTGCTCCTATGTAGCCTAAACTTCACTTTGTAGTCTCACTAATTGAATTATAAGTGTAGGCAAAAGTGGGGTATGTAATTTAGAGGTAATGCTTTGCTATCCTTTTTAGAATCTCCAGAACTGCCCAGAACAATCTGTAGAATCTCCAGAACAAAACTGTAGGGGAAACAGAACTAGGTGGGACTCCAGCCTGATGTATAAGAAATCTTGTTTAAAAATAAATAAAGTGGGTTTGGAAAGATGTCTCAGTGGTTAAAAGTGCCAGCTAATTGAGAGCCCAGTGTTTGGAAGCCCTGCAGAAGCAAGTAGATCTCTGTGTTCAAGGCCAACCTGGAGAAACTCTTTCTCAGCCGACCACAAAGAAAGAATTCCTTGCTGGCAATGGTGGCATACACCTTTAATTCCAACACTCTAGAGGCAGAGGCAGGCAGATCTCTGAGTTTTTAGACCAACGTGGTCTAGAGGGTGACTTCCAGGACAGCCACAGATACACAGAGAAATCCTGTCTCTAAAAAAAGAATAACACACACCTGTAATCCCAGCACTATGGGAGTTAGAGTTAGGCGAATCCCTGTGAGTTCAAGGCTAGCCTGGTCAACAAAGTGAGTCCAGGACAGCCAAGGCTACACAGAGAAGCCCTGTCTTGAAAACCCAAAGGAAAGAAAGAAAGAAGAACCCCTGCTGCTTCCACAGAGCATTCTCATCCTTCCCTGACCCTTCCATGGTGGCTTACAGCAACTTCATTTTCAGGGATCGTAGCCAATGACATTTCTTGCTTCTTCGGGCACCACATGAATGTACATGATGTGCTGCATATCTACAGGCAGACAAGTCGTGCGTGTACAATAAAAAATGAAACCAGTACGCTGGCATATGGAGACAGGCCTAGCTGCCTTTCAAAACTGAAAGGTGTCTAAGTTCACTTTCTGTAATAGTTCATAGAATGAGTACATTTTTTTTGAGACTGGGATTAAAGGTGAGCATCAGCACGCCTGGCCATATTCTGCTTCTTAAACACCTACAACTCTACATGCGGTTAGTGTATTCACTGTGTTTGTTGGGGGTGGGGTTCGTGCTTGCTGCTGGTTCCTATCAGGTCGCCAGCCGCAGCAGCCAGTGCCTCTATCCATCAGTTGTCTGCCAGCCTTCAATACACGTTTATTGCCCTACCTGGGTACTTGTACATATCTGCATATATCTACAGACGAAACCAAACTCAGACAGAGAAACTTAGTGGGGAAGAAATCTGGGCTAGCCAGATGGTTTCAGTGGTTTAGAACACCAGCTGCCATTTTGTAGACACAGGTTTGGTACCCAGCATGCACAGCTAGGCGGCTCAAAACTGTCCCTAACTCCAGCTCTGTTGCCGTGTTCTGGCACCTGAACATGCATGCGTGCTTTGCACAGACACATGCAGTCAAACCCACCCGTACATGAAACAAATCTTTAAAAAAAAAAAAAAATATTTTACTGTTTTTTTTTTTTTCTTGTTGTTTTTTAAGGTGGAATATGAAGATGTGGCTGGAGACTGTCGACTTGGTACCAAGAAAGGCCGTCCTTTCTCTGGTGTCACCTGCTGCATGGATTTCTGTGCCCATTCTCACAGGGACATTCACAACATGAATAATGGAAGCACTGTGGTGTGTATTCAAGTGGCTTTCGTCCTTTCTGCTTTAGATGTGCTCCTAAAATGTAACTGTGTTGAAAATATTATTGACTTATTGTAAGATATTAAGGTGTGCATATAGAAGAAATATTTGCTGTTGGACATGATGGCACATACCTTTAATCCCACCAATCAGGAGGCTAAGGCACTTGGATCTCTGAGTTCTATACCATTGGGGGTCTATAGTGAGTTTCAGGTCAGCTGAGCCTAGACGCTTTCTAATAGACCCTTTCAAATATATGAGCCTGGGGGGGGCGGGGTCATTCTTTTTCAAACCACCACACCTGCTATAACTGAAGCCAGGCATAGCTTGAAGAAGTAAGTACATGCCTATTCCTCCTCTCTGTCCCTTAGGTTTGTACTTTGATTCGAGAAGATGGCCGTGACACAAATATTCCAAAGGATGAGCAGCTCCACATCCTCCCACTACACCGGCTTGCAGACACTGATGAATTTGGCTCTCGGGAAGGGATGGAAGCCAAGATCCAATCTGGGGCCATCCAAGTCAATGGCCCATCCAGGAAGAAGCAACTACGTTTCAATGAACCTGTTCCTCGATGTGGAAAGAAGAGGGCCAAAATGATGGAGCAGAACAAGAAACCAGCCGCTGCTGGCCTCAGAACGAGAAGGAACTCCACCGCCAGTAAGGGTGGCCCAGGTGAGCCGTGCTGCTTAGCTCCAGAGAGGCTTCAATTTCAATTTCTTTCTTTCTTTTTTTTTTTTTTTTTTTTTTTTTGTTGTTGTTGTGCTGCATTATGTTTTTTGGTTTTTAGAGACAGGGTTTCTCTTGATTAATTTTGTAGACGAGGCTGGCCTCAAACTCACATCAACCCGCCTGCCTCTGCCTACCTGGAAGAGCACTGGGATGGTGGGTGTGTGCCACCAAGCCCACCATGCTCTTGTTTTGTTTTTTTTTAAGACAGGATTTCTCTGTGTAGCAACGGCTGTCCTGGAACTTACTCTGTCCCATCTCTCCTCCTCACCTCCATCGAGACAGGCTTTCTCTGTAGCCTTGGACTCCAGAGCGCTAGAATTAAAGGCATGTGTCACTATTACTCTGCCAGGTTTCAATTTTCTTTTTTCTCCTGTCACATGCCCAGGGAAATTACTTCATTTCTAATTTTTCAGCCTCAACTCATCCACTTTCTCGTCACCCACAGATTGTTGCTTTACCTTCCATTTTCTTTACGCTGCTGTTAGGTCTGAGGACTTGGTCAAGTCTGACTTCTCCTTTTTCTGTGAGATTGGTTTTGCTTAGTAACATTGCAGTAACACTATCTCTTTGTTGGTTGGTTGGTTGGTTGGTTTGTTTCTTTTTCAAGACAGGGTTTCTCTGTGTAGCCCTGTCCTGAAACTCACTCTATAGACCAGGCTTGTCTCCAACTCAGAGATGTGTCTGTTTTTTGCTTCCCGGGTGCTGGGATTAAAGGTGTGTGCCACCACTGCCCATCTTCTCTCTGGTTTTTAACTAAATACCTTTTGTATCAACGTGTAATTATCTTTACATCTTGAAGTGCATAGTGTTTAATGCTTCCTGCGGATTTCCTGGTGAAGGGACAATTATGGAGCTGGGTGTGGTGGTGAAAGTAAATTTCATCACCCTCCTTTATTCAGCAGATTTGAGAATACTAATCTGTTCCAATGTTACTTCTAAAAACTTTCCTATGGATTTCTTTTTCTTTTTTTTTTTTTTTTTTTTTTTTTGTGGGGGGAGCATTTTCAAGACAAGGTTTTTCTGTGTAGCCTTGGCTGTCCTAGACTTACTTTGTAGACGAGGCTGGCTTCAAACTCACAGAGGTCCTCCTGCCTCTGCCTGCAAAGTGCTGGGATTACAGGCATGCACCACCACATTTGATGAGGATTTCTTTTTTCTATGAATGACTCTAATAGTTTCTTCCTTCCTTTCTTTTTTCTTTCTTTCTTTCTTCTTCTCCTTCCTTCCTTCCTTCCTTCCTTCCTTCCTTCCTTCCTTCCTTCCTTCCTTCCTTCCTTCCTTCCTCCAGACAAGGTCTCTCTATAAACAGATTGGTCCTGACCTCAGAGGTCTGCCTGCCTGTGCCCCCTGAGCACTATGACTAAAGGTATATGCCACCACTGCCAACAATTTCTTTTATAGCGCCTTTTTTATTCCTTTTCCTCTGCACACTTATTTTTATTTTTAAAGTGCCTCAGTGTTCATTTTCCTGTCTTTAATTTGTAAAGATTTTTCAAACTGATTTAGAAATGTTTGTCATGGATCTAATTGTTTTTGATAGCTTCTAGCATAGTGGAATGTTCAGGGGTTTCTTTAATTTTGGAATAAACATGAGGAGAGACAGGAGAGAGATAGCTCACTAGTTGAGAGCACTGGCTGCTCTTAAAGAGGAAGAATTCTTTCAGGAAAACTGTTGTATGAACAAGTACAAGCAGCTGGAATATAGCTCCCTGGGAGAATACATGACTGTGTGTGGGAAGGCCTGGGATTCATTCCCAAGCAGACCCTAAAACTCGTGTTAGAGGGCTGGGTATTCTGGCTTTTGCTTCTGCTCTCGGTATTGAGACAGGAGGACTCTGTAAACCACAGGCCAGCCCATACTGTAAGGACCTTGCTTCAGACCTCCATTTTGCCTCTGTGTATGCCTGTGTATCACATGCCTGCCTGGTGATGAGGGCGTTGGATGCCTGGAACTGGAGTTACAGACAATTGTGAGTTTCCTCATGGGTGCCGGGAATCAAAACCTAGTTCTCTGCCGGAGCAACAAGTGTTTGTAACTTGTGGGCCATCTCTCCAGTACCCAAGACACATTTTTAAAAAGTGAAAAGGGCCAGGCAGAGAGGCACACGCCTTTAGTCCCAGCACTTAGGAGACAGAGGCGTGGTTCCAGGCCAGCACCGTCAATCTCAGTGGTTTTCAACCTTCCCAATGCTGCAACCCTTTAATACAATTCTTCATTTTGGATCCCCAATCTTAAAACTATTTTTGTTATTCCTTCGTCACTATAATTTTGCTACTGTTATGAAAGCTTTTTACAGGCCTAATTACAGCAAGTAATAGAATGCTTGCCTACCCAGGAGCTAACGCCAGGAGGCAAAAAATAAAATCATGTAAAAATAATTTTTGAAAACCGACAGGTGCCAAATAGCTTTTATGTTTGTCTTCACGTTTGTTGTAACTTTGTGAGCCAACAGTGAACCTACAGCATTTTGAAACTGAACGGCATTTTATTTTTAAAGGTTCAGACAACACTAAAAGCTGTCCATCGGCCTCATCTACTACGCACCCAGAGAAAGAAGAATCTACAGACCTAAGTCCCCTGGTGGCTTCCTCCACGAAAACAGCTACCTGTATGTACAATAAAACAGCCTCAGGCGGGCTTCCAGAAACAAGTAGCGTTCTCCACGGCGCAATGCCTTCTGGGACACACAGTGGTGCTAATGCAGCTGCTGGGGAGGGCGCTGGGATTGCACAGCCTGGTGAAGTGGCTCCTCTTCCTCACCAATCTGTTCCCACAGCAGATCCCCCTGCTCATTCTGAGCCCGTCGCTAGTCCGCCCGAGCAGCTAACTTCTAATCTGTCAAACCAGCAGCCCCCGTTCCTCAGCTCTCCTCATAAACTGGCTTCCTGTCAGGTGAAAGATGAGCTGCACCCTGAAGCAGATAAGCCTCTGTCAGATGACCTGTCCTCCGACGAGGATAATAACATCCCTCAGATTGATGAGTTTTGGTCAGACAGCGAGGAGATCTACTTTGATCCCAGCTTTGGTGGAGTGGCGATAGCACCCATCCACGGCTCGGTGCTGATTGAATGTGCCCGGAGAGAGCTTCACGCGACCACCTCCTTGAGGTGTCCTAACCGATATTGCCCTTTTCGTGTGGCCCTCGTATTCTACCAGCACAAAAACCTGAATAAGCCCAGACATGGTTTTGATATCAATAGGATGAAGTATGAATCTAAAGATATAAAGAAAAAACCCGCAGATCGCGAGGGCCCTGACTTATCCACCGAAGCCACTTTGTCATACCAAATTCCTTCTCGTATTGCTTCCACTCTAACCCATGACAATATCGTCACTGTGTCCCCTTACGCTCTCACTCATGTTGCAGGGCCCTACAACCATTGGGTCTAGAGGCTTTTCTCCCATAATGCCTTTGCTAGCTCGTTGTAGTTTTTACGGTGCTGTTCAAAAGAAAGTCATATTGTTGTTTACTGTATCTTCATTTTACCCATTTTAACTCTGAGATAAAAATTAAAAAAAAAAAAACGGGGTGGGAACTTAACTGTGACTATATTTTGAGAATTGGTAGAAGGTGCAGATTTTCAGCAAAATTAAAACTTTTCTAGTTTTAGATACACAAAGAATCTCTTGGTTAGGTGTGGGCCGTGCTAGAACCAGGGTTCGGTGCTTTACACTCAGTTTGTTTACTATGAGGAGGATGTTAACAAGTTCCTGCAATAAGATGTAAAAGCCAAGACACACAGTGTTAACCCTACACAGTTCCTGGTGCTTTAACCACACCAACACATGCAGTAATGAGCTGAATGATTGTTTCATGGTGCCATTGTTCAAGCATCTTCCAATCATTGCTATCGTGTCTGCACATTTCTTTGAAATAAACCAATGAAATGCTTTTTCCTCTTAAAATATATCTCCTGTATAAAGTAATTCTTTATTCTAGTGATGGTTGGAGGCTGTTCATTAACTGTAAATATATATATTTTAAAAAGCACTTTCTATTTTTAAAAGTAACTTGAAATAGTATAGTAGCAGAATCCTATTGTCTATGATGTATGCATATCTGCATACCAGAGAAGTCATTTGTTCTTGCTGTGTGAGTTCCATCCTGTTAACCGCAGCCTGTATTCAAATAATATATGACTAGTGTTTTTACCAATAAAGTAGAGGATCTCTAAGAAATTGAAACTACAAAATGCCACCAATATCGATTTCCCCCTTTTAACTAGAAAAAAAAAAAACAACAACAACATTATCTTCTAAACTAACCCCATAATTGAAGTATATGATCCTATGGCAGACGTTTTCAAAGAGAGAGGGCACAACTTTGGATCAGTCAAATGGTCCCAATGTTTCAAATTGAGAAAAATATCTAATTAAGTAACCTTTCCTTCCCAAATGAGAAGAAAATATTCTGTAGAAGTAATTGAAGTGAAAAATCCTCACGATTACCATTATCTCTCCTTCCCTGGAGTCACAGAGTAAAATTAGTACTGTAAGCCAGTTAAGAGGCTAACTAAGCTGGGTGTGGTGACCCACACCTGAAATTTCAGCGCTCTGGAAGGCAGAGGCAGGTAGACCTCTGTGAGTTCAAGGCCAGCCTGGTCTACAAAGTGAGTCCAGGACAGCCAAGGCTACACAGGGAAACCCTGTCTCAAAAAACAAACAAAAACAAAAAAGAGAGAGAGATCTCTAACTATTACTAATCTTAACCTATTTGGTTTAGATAAATGGTGACTAAACTTCTTTAGTAATCCCATATTCTGAAGGTGACGGGTAAAATCGGCATTCTGATTATTTTAGTGTTCCATTGTTTAATTGACTTACAGTCCAAGAAAGATTCCCCAAACAAAAAACCTCCAACCAAGAGACCTTTCAGTGAAATACAAATGCACAGGTGCTATGACATTCAAGGTGTTGGATTCTTTGGGAGTACAGGAACCCAAATGGTGCTTCTCTGAGATGCCATAGGAGGCCCACAACTACTACCACAATCTTGGTGCAAATATAAACAGTTCCAGTAAGCTCTCTAGAGACTAACTTATGAAATTGATACATGGTGCAAAGGGTAAGTTTCTGGCGAAGGCAAGTTCAGGAAGAGGAAGGGGTTGTAAATAAGGAAATGTCCATTGACATTCCACAGTGCACAAGTAGACTTAAGCTCCTGGAATATGTACAGTAGGGTAATTTGTTAACCTGATTTAGTATTTTGTGTGCCTTAGATTTCCATTTAAAAACATGCCTATTTTTTAAGCCTAGGGTTTCTTACACGTGTGAGTATATAAATGTGATCAGTTATTGCTTCAGTTAGGTATTTGTTAGACTAGACCATCAGGACTGTTCCCTTGTGAAGTTACCTTTGCGGTGTTCAGCCTTAGCTCCCACTAGAAATCATTTCTTTTCCATTGCTAGAAAAAAATCTTCTCCCCCTGCCTTTATTCATTCATTCATTTACCCATCCCTCTAATGCATGTTTAATTGAATCCTTCTCAATTCAATTTGATTGAATCTGATTTTGTTTATTTTTGAGTCACCACCTAGGATGCAATCTTAAACAGAATGCTTGGCATTATTTCCTAAGGGAATAGCAAATTACCTATAAAAGAAGAGCTACAGTAATATATAATCTAATAAAGTCAAGCTAACTTGTTTTTAATGTTAAGGCCACGTTTTGTTTTTGTTGTTGTTGTTGTTGTTGTTGTTTTCCAAGACAGGGTTTCTTTGTGTAGCATTGGCTGTCCTGAAACTCACTTTGTAGACCAGGCTGGCCTGGAACTGGTGAGATCCGCCTGCCTCTGCCTCCTCAGTGCTGTGATTAAAAGTGTGTGCCACCACTGCACAGCTTTAAGGCCACATTCTTAATGTTTAACTCATTTTAAACACCGATGTTGATCAATGGGGCTGTTGGGATGTGGGAAGCTACTTGCATTTTGACAGAATAAGTACATGAAAATAATCAGTTCCAGGAAGGCAGAGGTAGGCTGATAGCTGTGAGCTCGAGGCCAGCATGGTCTAACAAAGTGAGTCCAGGATAGCCAAGACTACACTGAGAAACTGTCTCAGGGGAAAAACAGGGAAAAGGAAAAAAGAAAATAATCAGTTTCAAGAAAAATGTCATTCCATTATTAAAATTGTCTTTAGAAATGGAATGCCTCAGCCGACAACCTACTGTGGGAACCTCATTCTCTTAAGTTCTTGGGCGCTCTCGTGTGCTTCTTAGACACACCGTGCTTAGTCAGTGTTCAGCAGCACTGGTTGTCTACTGGCTATGTACTGCTTTAAGAGTGGTCTTTATTACAGAACAGAATAAACTGGTTTGAGATGACAGCCCCTGTCAGACTCTTCTAATGGTCTTTCTACACCTCTATCGCTTTGTTATACTCAGATTCCTTTTCCTTTACTTCATTTGTGAAGCTCTAATCGAGACTGTGTTCATGATGTGAACCTTGAGTTCATTGTTGTATATGACCTCTATGATAGCCCAGCAGATGCTATCATTCTTGTGTGCTATAACTTCTATATCACCTGCCCTCTCAAAATTCCATTTTCTGTGTGTGTATTTTGGTTTTATGAGACTGATTCTGTATGTAATCTTGGCTGTCCTGGAACTCACATGGTATACCAGGCTACCCTAGACTTCTGCCTCTGCCCCTGTGCTGGCATTAAAGCTGTACTCCACCACTCTCCAAGCTGTTTTGTTCTCTTTGTCAGCCTCACATATATCCTGTTTCCAAATTTCTGCAAGGTACCATGTTGCGATATATTGTTGGGACTTGAGGCTAAGAAGGGTAAATTTTCCCAACATGTTCATGGCTTAGATGACTTTCCAGTCAGTGCATTTGTGAGGCTCAGAGCTTCGTTAGGTGAACGCTGTAAGCTGTTCACTTACATTCACCCCATTACATGGTTAACTGAATGGCTGTCCTTCTGTAAATGGTGTACTAGCTCGGTTCACATGAATGACATACTTCCTAGTATCATTACTCCAGTTTATCATTTCGCATTTGCATGATAACAAACCCATATATATGTTAGTCAGACATATATACTGAGACTTCTATGTGGAACAAAGCTGTCAGATCATTGCATGGCATTTGCTATCGATTGTGAGCACATTCACCTTTGTGCCAAGTAAATAGCTGTGTGCAATCTTTAGTTTGGCCCCTCGATGCATGAGAATCTTTCTTAGTCTAGATTTGAAACAACTGAATCATCATCTTTACTAGTAATTTATGACAAGAATTATAACAAGATAATGTGGTGACTCTCGCTGCACCAGAAGTCCCCTTCGAGGCGCTGGAGTTGAACCCCTGTGCTCACAGAGCAGACCTACCTGCTGGTAGCTGCCTACAGGCCACTCTGTTCTTCGGAGAACCGCACAAAACAAACTTTACTTTTCTCACCCATAGAGGACTGCATTACTGAAAACTATCCTTATTTTTATACAAGTCAAAAATAAAACAGCTTTCTGTCCTCTGGTGAGGTTCAGGACGCGAATGGTAATGGTAAAATTAGGTCAAGACTCCCTTGACTGTCAATGTTTCAGGCTCTGTGGGGAGACGTTAACTGACTTTTAGCTATGAAGCTAACCTATTAACGCTTTGCTATAAATATGGCGATCCTTGTCTTTGCCATTCCCTCTGGACCTCATATTCGGAATACATAAGGATTTCTTAAGGACTGGCTGAGCCAACTGAGGAAAGCATACTTTCATTGTATATACTCCCTAGCCGTGGTTGCACATTCCTTCCTGCCCCTCACCTAGTTAAGTGCGAGCAGTTGCTTGTGGTGTGGCCATTTTTGTGATGGGAATGCTATACTTTGTTAGGTCTTTGTCCTGTCCACTTTGGCATGTTTGCCATGTGGTATAGTCATTGCTTGGTTGTTTAAATTTTTCCAAGTGAAATGGGTGTTTCAGACTGTATTTTTCATAGCATTAGAAAATAACGGCAATCCTATGTGGAGAAGACATTCAGTCTGTGTGTCTTCCCACAAAACTTGATTCTGTATATTTTCTTCAAAAGTGTTAAAATTCTTAAGCATGGTTTTTGTGTTTAGTCTTCTCTCTCTCTCTCTCTCTCTCTCTCTCTCTCTCTCTCTCTCTCTGTAATAGAAGATGAGCCTCGGTAGTAAGTTGTAAAGCTGGGCCTCTAAGAGTGTCATGGTCTTGCGTAGTCTTGAACTTTGGCTGAGGATGTTGAGAACTTGTTTTTCCGTTTCTTTTTCTTTTGAAACTGGATCTCACAATGCAGCCCTGGCCTGGCAATGTAGACCGAGCTGGCCTTGAACCCACAGAGGTTCTTCTGGCCTCGACTCCACCACACCTGGTGTCTCTAGTGCTGGGGATTGAACCAGGCCTTTGTGCATTAGGTAAGCTCTCTCTCAGCTGAGGC